CCACGATGATCTGTTTGCAGTTAAATGTATTCAGCAATAAATTGGTATTTGCAATTGCAACCTTATCTGTCAGTGTCAGCATCTTTTATTTTATGTTTACCTCAAACCCTACAAATAGAAGTGTGCATGAAAACATGGGAAGAAACGGTGAGCATTGCCGTGTGATAACTGTCATAAAGGTGATTGACAGGTCATACTTGTTGTATCTGGGAGCATAGAAAGGTGTGCTTATGATTTACATATGATAGGGTGTTTACAACATTGGGAGGACAATTGGACAGGTGTGCTGTTATTTGAATATCAAAAGTTGTTTATGATCTACCGAGTTGCCTACGTGAGACAGCTGCTAGCAAGATCACATTCTGATTGGCTCATGTGGAAACCCAGGTGGTGTCACTGAATCTAGGCCATTTGTACCTATAAATTGGCAGACTGAGGATATTTTGACTGTGTATCCTGTGTGTAGCTACTGCGATATTGTGAGTCAAGTGATACAGGCTTCAACCATCAATCTGTGAGACTTGTATGAACTGCTCTGCTCTGCTCTGCAATCTCCTGCTTTGATCGGTGTCCTCCCCAGAATAACAGCATTCCTTTGGAAGCAAGACTCCTGTAATTCTTCATTGTTGTGTTGCAGAAGCCATTGACTGTCATCCATTTCCTGGAACTGTGAGTTATTCCCAATGTGTTTAATTGGATTATTTATAATATACTTATTTTATGGATATAAGTGACTAAATGAGTGTTTTATCACATTAAGGCTGACCCTTATTTGGTCAATTTTTGCCAGATGTATCCTCGGGGGCGGACATTCGGGCATTTTCACCGCCTGGCAACCCGCGGCGGTGAAAACAAAGGCTCAAAACTCGCAGAAAACGGTACTTTGGGATGATTGTTGAGACTCCTCTGAACAGTGCAACAAGATTAGCCCTACGTGTGTAACATATATAAATTTGGTTGTTCGGAATTACTTCAAAGTCGAGTTTGTGTTGTTTTCTCGAATTTTCAACGGCTCGACTGGCGTTCCACAGCAGTGCGCAAAGAGCCCATAGAAATGCATGGTACAGTGGTGCGCGTCTTAGCAACGTGGAACGTCTGTGACGTAGCTCCGCCCCCGAGGATATTAATTATTTTTGAAATGTTTGCCCTGACATTTTGATCTTGATGCCTAATTACGTTAAAAATTATAATATTTCTATCAATGTTTCAATAAGCCGTATAAAATTGGTCTACCAATGAAGACAGCCTTACCACCAAGAGCCAATGCTTTAAATATATCAGTACCTGTACGAACACCACCATCCATGTAGACTTCTATTTCATCAGCTACATCCCTAGATATCTCTGTTAACTCATCTATCTGAGCAATAAATTTAAAGCGGGGAGAATACTGTAATGACATAAATTTGACTTGCGTGTTGCTTTCACATATTTGTGAATGCGTGAATAATCATTATTAATAGTCATTATGTACAAAACACGTACGTCTTTATTATATTACTTACCGTGGCTGGTACACCATCTAACTGTCTCCCACCATGGTTAGATACCATAATAGCATCCACTTTATGTTCCACTGCAATCAATGCATCTTCAACTGTCATTTCACTTCATCCACGTATGTTGTCTCATTCATAATACCCTTGAACATAACAAACATCATTGCGATTCACAAATGTACAAATGTATAAGTTAATTGTAAGTTGGAATTCAAAAATATTCTGTGCGATCTCAATTAAAATTACTGTAATTAATAATTCGAGAAATTTCAGTTGAAAAAAAAATCACCATCAGTCATTGTGCACCCGTTTGAAAAATAATGACCTCAAATTATGCATGTATACATCAATTAATTATGTGTATATTTATGACCTTTGTATTATTTGAAATGAAGTTAACTATAATATACATTTACTAAAACAATTCATGACATGTTCTCGTTATAATGTCATTTTTAATAATATTAGAAATATAGTTTCTCAATTGCAGTTTGATATTGTGCAAATCCCTTTTTTACTAGCCTTTACAAGATATTCATGTCTTTATTATTAATAATCTACTACAACCATCACATATGGACTAATTGCATCGATGTATTGACCACACACAAATGATGATGCTTATTGTTGTAAACATGATAAATTTGGCTTACATTTTTGCAGTTAGCAAAGTTTTTTTTATTTTTTATTTTTTTCACCGTTTTCTCTCCTGACTTTTTTTTTTTGTATGTGCAAATTGCAAGTGCTAGTGCTGACACATAGTGCATTTTGCCACAGAAGTCATATTCATGTTTGGGACTACATGACAGGGCTGTATGGCCATCTCTCTGTCAAATGGCTTAATGCGCTATCCTGGCGTCAACCAGGCTCGGTCGAACACAAGCACCTGCGGACCTTAACAAAGGTTCCCCCAAAGTCACATTTGTTAGTGAATGAATCTCGGCCAGTGGAATTGGCCTTCCCATTGAGTCTGTGGCACACTCACCCAGGGTAGGGGTTGACCCTTTGATGTTCAGCCTAAGGTAGGATTTAAACATGGGTCTACCCGATCATGAGTCTGGAGCGACAACCACTATGCTACCAGTGACCGGTACAGTTAGCAAAGTTAGCAATAATCGCATTTCTTGGTACAATATCCCCAGGTACACATGTCATTTTTCGCCTGAACCCAACTTGGCAGTTATCGAGTGACACAACAATGCCTGTGAAACGTTATTTATACGTACATATGCGAAAATGGTGCGGTAATTTCCCATGGTATTTCTTTGTGTGTTTTTTAGGATCTTTGGCAATTAAGTGATGAACTAATATGCAGGTATCAATTTTAACAAAATCAAATGATGAATTACAAGCCATGCATGGCACAGTCCACATTAGTTATCAAATTTAAGACATAAAGTTTTGTTTATAGTAATATAGCTGGAATATAAACATGTCAGGAATATGATGATTGTTTAACATTT